ACTCAGCAAAAGGTAGAAAGTTAACCAACATGGTTAATTTTGATATTTGCTATGTTAAAAATGAATAAATCTGAAAAACCTGTCATAGCTTGACAAATAGAACAGCATTGTGCTGTTGGGTTCAATGAGTATGTCTGTTTGTACCTCTATATTAGTAACATCTCAGGCCAGAGAAGCAAACATAGTGCAGAAATTGATCTGCTTTGGGAAAAAGCCAATATTCCTTATGTTACTGACTTCTTATCAGCAATGTAACAAATAGGCATTTTATCCTTTGTACTCAAATTGTTGGACCTTTATGTAAGAGTTCCCATATATACAATATCCTGACAACCAGTGAAAGGTGATATCATTACCTTCACCCAGTGTCAAAATACCCAATATTTTTGATGTATTACATTTTGGTTCATTTGGAATTCCACACTTAAAGGTATAAAAAATGAATCTATTTATTTTCAAAACTATAATGAAAAAAGCTATATTGTTTGAGGATAACAAAAATGTTGCTTTTTGCATTGGCATTTAAAGACTAGACAATGCATAGAACCCATCACTCCTATGTAGCAGCAACACCTGCATTATAAATATATAAATCTGCATTATAAATTATTATTATAAATTATCTTTCTATAAATTGGAAGGGACACTACTGGTAGCAGAATAGTGATTCAATCTTGTACTGAGACTTACAGTTTGAGAGGAAATGAGATCTAATTGTGATGATTGAATATTGAATGATGGGCCGCCCACATACTCACCCATACTAAACTCCATATCCCCATCACACCAGTTCTAGCCAGGCCCCGCTGGCTCCATATTGCGAACGGATCGATTTCAAGACCCTACACTCGTTTTCAAATCCTTCATTCCCTGGCACTTCCCTACCTCTCCAACCTGCTTACACACCTCACAACCTGCTGCCTTCACTTGACTGGCTCCAGCTTTCGGCATGTCCCCCGTTTGTTTTGTATTTGTAAAATATTGGATCTGGAACTCCACTCAGACACAAAGCTTCTGCCAGACACCAGAAGTTTTCTTTGGCCACTATCAGGAGAATTAATTTTCTGAATCCTCACCTCCCCAGGTCTTCTGAAGTTATGAATTTGTGCTGGGAACTGTTCCAGGACCCAGGGATCCTTCAATAGGTCATTCAAATAGCCATTCTCCTTCTGTGAGCCTAGACACTCTGTCAGCAGACTATTCAATCATTGGGGGATCACAGCCTGCCTTGGTCTCTCCTGACATCTACATAAGTGTCCTTTCCAATTAGGATCATTGGATAGCAAACAGATGTGGGATCTCTGGCTATTTTTTCCTCATTCCAGCTCAAGGGTATGAAGGTCAACATCCATATTGCTGCCCCAGCTGAGAACAGCAATCAGCACAGACAGAGGATTGGACCTGGTTGACCCATTGTATGATTGTCAGCAACCCCTATTGATCAGCAATGTGGTTTTGGCCTTGTTGGCCTAACTGTATCTTCTGGGATAGAGGAAGATCCATGAGCAGGAGAGTACTAAAATAGTACTGGAAATCTGAAGTCAAAGCTGGGGCTGTGAGGAGTCTAAATCAACTCTGGCCTTCCCAGAAATAAAATCAGTCGAAGAGGTCAGGCTTGGCTGTGATACTCTCTGCAGTGGAAGTGGAGTGACCTGTTGACACTCACTGCCAAGGCTCATCAATAAAAAATGGCCACTGGGCGGGGGGGCAACCAGCTCCTGTAGAACCTACAACCCAACAAGAGGAGGCCAGACCAGGAGCAGAGGCTTATGTCAACGAGAAGAAAATTAGAAAATGAATTGAACACACTAAATTTATATTTAAAAAGAAATACTAGGAGTCCCCTGCAGATCATTCAGCGTGTGAAACGTAAAAATAAGTAGCAACTTACAAATAACTGGGCATGTTACCACTGACAGGAATTCCATCGAAAACGCTAAATAAGGTGGCCATCAGCATCAGCTTGGACACTTGTTCCATTGAATAGCTTATTTGAAGCAGCCTGTAAACTAAATGCAGCATCAGTTTCAGATGTGGGAGTGGCTTTACCAACAGCACCATCAGAGAAACCCTTTTATTCAAACCTGAGTGTAAATAAAGCCATGCAGCAAGGAGTAACAATTTCTGCTAAACCTTCGCTGTATTCCAGTAACAAAGTAGTGACGGACAGTTATATGATGGTTCTACTACCAGCAACAAACACCCTTGCTCCAAGTTACTGTTCATTAATCTTTGTGGCAGCAAATATCTTTATCTGCACTGATCTGTGATATGTTGTAATATTTAAATTCTACTGGTAACTTACATTTTAAATAATAATGATTACTTAGCATGCTAAAAGCAGAATGGTGCTCCCAATATCTCAGTTGGTCCAGTGTTGTTCAGTGTGGGTGGGATGAGAAAACTAATGTCCTCCTGTAGTTTGATTTTATGTCTAGAGCAGCACAAGAGGCTGAAAACCCACCCAGTCTTAGCGTGTAAAGTCACTGTCTTAAGTGTCACGGAACTGTGGAAAATCCTTAAATTCAGTTTTAATTTGGAAGCCAGTTTCAATTTTTCACAATTCTGCGAGATCTTAGATTTTAAGACAAAGTGATTTCATGGCCTAGGACCAGGTGGAATTTCAGGCCTAATATGGGGTTAATTGCAATAAGCTCATAAGAGCACCAGTCACTGAAACCTTCTGCTGGACGAGCAGTGAGCCAGCAATGCATCCATTTTGAAAAAATAACTAAAAGTACCCTCTGGAGAATTGGGAGGCTTTGAAACCTGAATGGAAAAAAAGACATATTTTAAAACATTTTCTTTTAAATCCACACATCTGCTTGGTCTGACCCCAGGCAATTTAACAATGACATGATAACAAGCAAGTGCTAATTGTTCTACTTGTTAAGAAAATGCTGACATTCTCACCTTCAAATATTATGATGTGTTTTGTAACTGTCACCCGAACCCTCAGATCGGATTACCTTAATCGTTTTCTTGTTTTATTTTTGATAATATATACTGTTTCAGTGGGAATTGGGAGCATTTATTCAATTTTATTCACAGGTTTTCCAGTGGCAGCAACAGCAGCTGTCTGTGCTTCGTGTCCTTGACAGGTAACAAGGTTCACCCAAAGGAGTTTGCTATGCATCAGACTATAACTATAGATTGATTAAGAAATAATCTATTGTTGATTATGAGGAAATACAATGTCAATATATATTACAGAACATTAATATCCAAAATGATATTAATCCTTTTACACAAACAGAGTGAAGTTATTGGGAAACCTTCCAGAGTTGATTTCCAAATATGGAGGTTTACACTGTTTGAGAATTGCAGTTAACTTGCTCACATTGAAAGAACATCCTGTGTGTTTTTGTGTGTTTATTCTCCATCTGGTACTGACTATAAACACACATTTTACATAATGAAAAATCAAATATGGAATGATTGAAATAAGTGCAAGTGGTATCACTTGTAGTTTTAAAAAATCGGAATCTGTAAATTGATTGACACTGTGCAAAACTAGTAATTGTGTTAGTCACAGCACTGGGCTGTAACACCTATTGTACTTTGACAGCTTCAGAGGGTAACTTTTACCACTTTTGCAATGTTATTTGTCAAGTGTTGAAATTGTAGCTCCGAGGGTGAGACAAAGGGTGCAAAAGTGAAGTGTCGATAATGGGATGCCGTTCATCCTGATTCCATTACATTTACCTCTCCTGACCCCATGTGTCGTTCTAGCGTGAGACAGAAATGACAGCCATGCAACCCACTTGAGACAATGTTAAAGCAGCTTTAGTCATCTTCACTGTGATAATAAAAACTGCCACATGGAGCTTGCAAAGCCACACCTCCCGAAAATCAAAAATCTTATTTGCTTTTATCGTTGTGACGCTTCCTGGGCTCCACTAACTTTATTTTGTTGTTGGCCTGATTAGGTTGATAGCCTGGCTCAGTTAATAGGAATCTGGCCTCTGAGCCAGAAAGTTGTGGGCTCAATTCCCAAGTCTGACCTTTGAGTCTAGGCTGACACTCCAAGGAGTGCTGGGGTGTACCGCATTGTTGGAGGTGCCGTTCTTCAGATGAGATGTTAGACCAAGGCCCCATCTGCCTGATCAGTTGGACATTAAAGATCCCATGGCACTGTTCAAAAAAGAGTTTCTCCCGGTGTCTTGGCCAACGGTCCCCCAGGTAAAATTGCTCATTCACATGACTGTTTGTGGAGCAAATTACTGCCTAGTTTGCCTACAAAACATACACTTCGCAGTAAATCCTGTGCAGCACTCTGAGACACCCTTTCAAAGTGAAAGGTGCCACATGGATTATTTTATTATTTAATCCCTGTAGTTTCTAGCACCGAATAGGGATGGCGTAATCAGGCGTTGTGCTCAATAATGTGATATAATATATAGTGATTTCTTACTGGGATCAACTAATTATGGAATCCAAGTGAGATATCTTCTTTCAGTATCTCGTCCATGTGACAGAAACTCCACTCTGAAAGTAGATGGTAACGGTGTTGAATTTTCACAGGTCGGTGTGACACACTTCCATTACCATTCTCTACTATGTTTAAATCTGACCTTAAAACCTACCTCTTTGTCCACTCCTATGGTCAACACCCTCTTCCCCCTCTCCCTTGATCAGGGTCCAACCCCGTATTTGTAAAGTGCTCTGAAACGTTATCTGTCTTGGAAGGGACATTGAATGCAATTTGTCTAAATAAACATAGGAATGTCTATTAAGACAATTCATTGCATGTTGGAACCCAAAAGCAAGTAGGTTGAAGTAGATGATGTTATCATGCAGCGTACTTAAAGATGTCAACAGGTTCTTGAGGTTACTATGTACTTTTGGTGAGGCTGAGGCTTTCCTGTCAGCTGACTATGAATGCTAAACCACTCTGGTGCATCAGTTTGGTTTGTTCAGCTTTAGCCAAAGGCAACATTAGTTTCACAAAGAACAAGTAGAGATCTGACCAAAGGACTGAAGTTAAACCCACATCATAAGGCATTTAAATAATGGCTTTTATTTGATTTTGTGCTAACTTTGGATCCATTCATAATCCCCAACAGAAATGTTACATTTTACAAATATAACAGCATCCGCTGGAACAATCGTTGAACAAACACATACATATATTATCTTAAAACTTCCAAAGATTATTTTTTTCATTAAAACAAAAACTACAATTGTACAGTGTGTCTGTGACAATGTAATCATTCTTCACAAGTTTTCAATTAAGACAACAAGGGCTCAGACTACTTTAGAAGTGTTCAGATCAGATACAGGGTCCCAAATCCTGACAAAGTTGATCTGAAGGAGCTGTAAGTGACTTCCTGGGTACAGTCAAAAATGACATGTAGCTTACATTAAATTAACAATTGCAAAAAATAATTGTGATATTAGTTTGCAAAGTAATAAATACTGCTGTCTCCTAACCGCAATAGTCTATTTGAGGTTGTTACCTTTTTATTAAAATTTGATGACTGGAATGGCTTGTCATGAATCCCAAATTCCAATAAATAAATCCGGAATTTCCATGTATTGTTGGGAAAAATGAATCGGGAAAAACTCTGAGTGAGCTTCCGAGAGAGCATATTTCTATTTTGTATTGGATAATGCAACAAAAATTATTATAAAAAATTGGTAAAACGTAAAAAAAACAGCAACAAGGAACGAAAAAAAATTGTAACTTGTAAGTTTTGGCAGCAAAATATCTGGTTCACAGAAATCTGTCTCTGGTTTTGTATTGTTAGAGTGCTATTGTTGTTAAAGACATTTTTAACTGCAATTCTGTAATGCTCCTTATTTATTGTCAGTGATAATTACGAAACAGAGACACTTTAGGAATATTGCAATTTGGACCATGTTATTTTTACTATTCATTTACCTGTGACCTGCATGGCTGCCTTGTGACAGTGGCCTCATCGCTCTGTTTGCCCTGTCAGGTGCTGTGTGGAGAGTATTCAGAGTGACGATGGTTGGATTCTACCAAACTATATTTTATTTCGACAACTTGTCTGGGGCCAACTTAGGTGGATTCAACACATGGAGAATGGATAAAAGTGAAAGAGCCAGAAATACACAGAAGCTGTAGCGGAAACCGATCCCATCCACAATCACACCACCCATGATACCAAAAGTGAGTTTCCCCAGCACCTCCAGAGTAGCCAGAAAGGAGTAATGAGTAGCCTGCAAAAAAAAAAGCAAATGTCACCGCACATGATAGGAATAAGAAACGGTGATATTACCACCTCTGCTTCCACACAAATACAACAACAATCTCAACAAATAGTATGATCTCTTATTTAATGACACCAAAAAGCAAAACATTTCTTCCAGCTGTCTAGAACAAACATTTTTCAAAAAGTACCATCAATCAAAGAAGTCAGTCCACCAGTCAATTAAGAAGGTTTACCTCTGAAGACCCCAGTCTCAACAACAACAAATTACATTTCTATAGCGCCTTTTACGTTGGAACGACGTCCCAAAGTGAAGGACAGTCAAGGATGTGCACCCAAGGATGCATTTCCTTTAATATATCAGTTGCATATCTTTGGACCTTATGGATCTGTGATTCAAACTTTTCACTGTGAACATATAATAATATCACTACAACATATTTACTTTACACACACAATATGCCTGGTATCTTGGTATTTTTTCCAATGCACTCAGGTCCCCTACAAGTAGATTTCATAGGGTTAACTCATTACTGTGGTTAAAAATAGGTTTCAATTACAGGAAGACCAATTACCTTACAAATGAGGTTATATTAAAGTCTTCAACAACAGGAAATATTAAATGTATTGATTCATTTTTATCAGCTTCCAGTAAAAACGGCTAATTTAGAAGTAAGGAAATAAAGGTCGAGGCTGGTGCTCCAGTACAGAACTGGGGAAGTTCTGTAGGGCCATCTAAAAGTGCTTTAGTGTAGTATGGCTCTTGATAAAAAGGCCCAAGACCTAAACATTGATTTCTCCAGGGAATCCCCCATACATCATATCAAGTTACAAAACTTTGGTTGCAGTAAGATCAGGCTAATGCTGGAGGTACTATCTTTCAAAGATGTATTAAACTGAGGCCCAGTTTACTTATTGAGGTGGAAAATAATGATCCCATGATGCTATTCAAAAAGAAGTCCTGTAGCTCAGTGGTTAGAGCACTCGCTTTGCAAGCGAGAGACCTGAGTTCAATTCCAGGCAGGGCAAAACCTTGGGCAAGTTTCCTTACTCCACACGCCTAATAATAATCCCTCCAAAATCAAAAACAATAATAAATTGGTCATTTTCAATCTACGACTGTTTGTGGGACATTGCTGTGCGCAATTGGCTGCCGCGTTCGCCCACAAATATACAGTCAATTCACTTTACAGTGTGTTCTGTGAAGCGCTTTGGGACGTCCTCCTGACGTGAAAAGCGCTATATCAAATGCAAGGATTATTAAAAGGGCACTTTTCCTGGCATCCTGGCCCACAAACCTCTTGTTTGTTCAGTCATTCACCTCATAGCGCCGTGCAAAATAGCTGCTGATGTGAAACAGTCACTACACTTGGCAATAAATACATGTGCTTTGAGATACATCAGCACTATAAAAAAAAATCTTGAGGAAATAAACCATTCATCCTGATCTAATCAAACTATTCCAATTATTTTCAAAGTGTGTTTTTATATTCAAAGGGTTATGTCCGCTAGTTCCATGTTACCACATTATTATGTAATAAGACGATGAGATGCATAGCCAATTAGTATTTTTAGTTAAGTTAATGAGCTAGGATTTTCAAATGAAATGTCAGTGTGACAAATCACCATTTAATTTAACATTGACCATAATTGAAGAGAGAGAAACCTTGAATGGTAACAAAAGGATACTTAATGCTTACAAGATGCTATCTGTTTCTGGTTCACAGAAAATAAATCTGTCTGTGGTTTTGTATGGTTGGTGCGTTATTGTGAAAACAAACCCTGAATTTCTTGAGGCAATTTTTCTCCGTACCTTAATTGTAAAATAGCTGGATCAGAATTGTTTTTTCTTTTATGCCATTTTACATCTCGAGAAAGGATTATCATATCCAGAGGTAAGTAACTCAGTCTGATTTTTAGGTAAAGTGAAATACAATCTCTCCGCATTGCACCCTCTTTGCCTGTCTTCAGATCAAATCTGAAGACTTTCCTCTTCGGCCATGCCTAAGGTGATTTCTTTCTCTCTAGATCAGCATCAAACTCTGCTACTGTTATGTGCTCTGAGTAGTTCCACAACAACTTATATTTATATAGTGCCCTTTACATAACAGTGGTGTAGTTTGGTGCCAAGCTGGAAAGAGGAAAGTCTTTAGGTGTGATTGGAAGATGGGTAAAGAGGGGAGAAGACGGAGGGATTGAGGCAGCGAGTTCCATAGTTTTGGGCAGAGTGGCTAAAAGCACAACTTCCAATGGTGGAGTGGAGAGAACCAGCGACAAAGGACACCAGAAGACCCATCCGGCTGAGCAAAGGCGACGTATAGTGGATTATGGTATGAGCACATCAGAGAGGTAGACAGTGCCAGAGCATGAATTGATTTTGAAAGTGACAATTTTGAAAACTATCCATTCTGCAATAGAGAGCCAGCGGAGCCTGGCAAGAACAGGGATTATAGGAGTGCGGAGCCTGGTACAGGGAAGGGCGGGCGGCAGAGTTTGGGATCTTTTGGGACTTATCTATAGTGGAAACGGGGAGACCGGTGAGGAGTGCATTTGAAAAATCGAGGCAGGAGGTGTCAAAAGCATGCTTACAGGCTTCAGCAGCATTTGATTTAAGGTAGGGTCAAAAACAGGCAATCTGGCGGAGGTGGAAGAAAGAGTCCTGGTCAGGGACCAGATGTGGGATAGGAAGGATAGCTGGAGATTGAACCTTGTGAAGGGTACTTTATAAATATATATACTTTATAACTGCAAGTTGTTGTTGTAAAGTGAAATTCTAGGTTTTCCCTAAGGGCGATAGCATATCCTGCGATGTATTTCAGATGCAATACTGAGACCTGTGTGATTTGTATATAAAAATGATGTCGAAATTTTACATAATCAAGTCTTTGCCTCACAAAATGAAAATTTTTCTCAGATTACGTTGTGGTAATAATAATCATGGCAGATGGTGTCAGGAAATTCAAGCAGAAATTGGATACTGATTTGGCAAAAAGATCAGCTGAAGGAGATGAAAGTTACAGTACATGAATTTTTGTTTTTATCTTGCGACAAGTCAGGTGGTCTTTTCCAATCCTGTTCAGTGCTATGTTCCTATATTACATACTGGAATATCCATATACTGGAATAGGGAACTGGGAGCCAAGTTAATCAGTTCTCTGTCCACTCTTTCCATACATTCAATACTGGTAGGTCACTAAACAGAATTTTTCACCTTGCAATTAAACAAAAGGGCATCAGATGCCTTTGTGCCTTAGCATAAAACATGCCAACGGCTCTCTGAAACAACATGACAAATACATTAGGAGGTACAACCGCTGTCCTTCTGCTACTCACATTACGGAAATCAGCACAGACTCAATATCTACTTCGTCACCCAAACCAATTACTACAGTTTGCCATTTGTTTGACTGGGAGATAATCACTAATAATCATAAGAAAGGTGTCGATAAAGTATGCCTTCCAGAATACCCTTCCAGAATACCTTCCATATTGTTCATTCATTACAGCATCTTAAATGAGTCCAGCGTACTGGCTGCAATCATCTTTCCTTGTAACTCATAGTAATGGAGTCCTGTAGCTCAGTGGTTAGAGCACTCGCTTTGCAAGCGAGAGACCTGAGTTCAATTCCAGGCAGGGCGAAACCTTGGGCAAGTTTCCTTACTCCACACGCCTAATAATAAACCCTCTAAAACAAAAAACAATAATAAAATTGGTCATTTTCAATCCATGACTGTTTGTGGGACATTGCTGTGCGCAATTGGCTGCCGCGTTCGCCCACAAATATAGTCAATTCACTTTACAGTCTATTCTGTGAAGCGCTTTGGGACATCCTCCCAACGTGAAAAGCGCTATATCAAATGCAAGGATTATTATTATTATTATTCCAGGCATTAATTATCTTCTGGGTAAAGAAATAATTCCCAATCACTGTACGTATCAAAACGTCTACCTATGACTGTATACATCAGTCATTGTGAAACTATCATTAGGTTTAGTTGTTTTCATTCGTTATGATAGCAATGGTTTGCGCAGTGTTACAACCAGTCCCTTTACCTTGTGATGATCAGCAGTCCAATTAAAATACAATTTATTTAAATCATTAATTTCACATTCACAAGGCACGTTAGGATGAAGAAGACTGTTTGGCCCATCTGATCTGAATATGTACTCTACTATCTTCCCATCACAGGAAAGAACAAACAGTTTCCTAAACAGTGTTTAGTACCTGGCCTCAACCATCCTTCCTGGTGACTTGTTCCAGCAGTTCTGTGTAAAGAATCTCTGTGTAAAGAAATACTTCCTGATGTCTCTCCAAAAATTACCCTATACATCTATGAACTTCTTGTCTTTTGTCCTGCTCTCTTGGCATAAGGCACAATCAGACCATTCAGATAAAAGAATGTGTCCTGGGAGTGGAGAAAAAAAGGAGACCTTTGAAACAGTTTACTATAAAACACCCATAAATGGCTTCTGAATAAAATCAGATGGGAACAAAACCTGGTTAGGATGCCGCACGAATAGCTGTGCCTTTCTCCAGCAACAACTGATATATGATATGTGCAATCATATACTACACTTTACTTAATAATCTGAATGGCTGCTGCATTCTCCTTAACAAATACAAGTTATGCAATGCTGAAACTCAAAAGCAGCAGGTGAACGGTCTCACAGTTAAGCCAGAAGGGATTTCATGAGAACAAAAAGCATTATTGTGCAGCAATTTTAAACATGACAAATTCTCAAATTATAAAAAGGTAGGGCTTTAGATGTGTGTGATAACTAGCAAATACTGCTACTGGAGATATCTTAGTGATAACTGTTGTGGGGGAACACTTTTGCTTACTACAGGGTACCTACATCTCACTGGTCGGAGCTGGGTGCAAACCCAAGGTCTTGAGGCCAGAGGCCAGTGTCTAATCTCTGTGCTACCCGTATCACGCATGATTTTTTTAAAAAAAGAAAAAAAAATTAAGCATTTTGCCCACAAAATATATAGTCAATTCACTTTACAATTTAAGTATATTCTGTGAAGCACTTTGAGATGTCTCATAGATGCGATAAGGTGCTATATCAAATGCAAGAATTATTATTATTATTTCAAAGCTTTACAAAGTTCTTGTACGATATTGAAAAGTTGTCAAAATCCTTCCCAGGGCATCAAATGGCAAATTCAGAACTAAAACTACTACTAATAATAATCCTTGCACCTTATCACATCTTCGAGACGTTTCAAAGCACTTCACAAAATATACTGTAAAGTGAATTGACTGTATATTTTGTGAGCAAAACGTGGCAGCCAATTGCGCACAGCAGTGTCCAACAAACAGTCGTGGATTGAGTGACCACATTATTATTTATTTATCTATGAAGGAATTATTAACCCCGGAAAAGCGATCCATCCATTTACTAACAACCGTGTTCCTTCACTGCTAGATAAACAAAGGCATGTGGAAACTTGCCTAATGTTTTGCCTCGGTGGGAATCAAACCCAGGTCTCTCACTTGCGAGTGGAGTACTCTAACCAAAATGACACAACAAATATAAGGCTGATGGGATTCATTTAATATTCTGTAACATGGGGTCATTGATAAATATCTTGTTGATTATCATTATTAACAAATACAAAAAAAGTCTCTCCACTTCAATGTAATGTTAATGGAACAAATTAGCTCTTGGTTTTCTGGTACCTTTCCTCTAAAAGTACTTTGGAATGAGTCCAATTTATTTATTTTCAATAATTTCAATAAACCCTGAGAAAATGTAGAGCTCAAAGAATGTGTTACTAGAGTAGAAGATCGTCACATGAAACTATTGCTATTTATCTTTATGTACAACCAACTAGATTTCATATTCATAACGCTGCATTTCAAAAATTTACACAAAATTAGATTACATTCAGATATGAATTACCAATGTTTATCCATGCTCTTAGAAGATTGAATGCAGTAATGCAAATAACACTAAAAGTGACCTTTACAAACTTTTTTTCTTAACTCGGACAGCAGCTTTCCATTTGTCCTCCTTAATAAAGTTGTGCTTAATTATCTCCATATTTCTGCTGGAACTGTTTGGCTTTGAAAGCTACAATCTACCTCAAAGTTCCACTTGGAAAGGGAGACTTGTACAATGGGATTAGACCAGCTTGTTAATGCAGCCCATATTATAAAAGGCTGAAATCCTGCTCAAGTTTTATATAACTGTTCCAACAACTAGTTTATTTTCCAGCAAATAATCAAGTGGAAAAAGATTAAATAATGTTTTATTTTACCCTTCAGGCACTGTTGGTACAGTACTTTGTAATCCCTGGAAAAGATATTTCAAATCAAACCATTTCAAAATAAGCACCCAGTTCCCTTTATAGAGTTTGAAAATTGCCAAATAATATTTAGAAGTAATGATGTTCCCTAATACTGATCAGTAAAATAGGTCTATTTATAGAGGTCTATTCTGTGCACCTGTTACAGTTGATGGAAATGGATAGACAAAAGTCCAGGAAGTAGACAAAATACCACAAACAGCCATGAAGTCAATGAACAATTTTATTGGGGGATTGTTGGCCAGGACACCAGAAGAAACTCTTCTCTTTTCGAATAGTGCCTTGGGATCTCTAACATCCACCTGAACAGATGGTAGTTTCTGCTTTAACGTTTCAAGTCGAAGGACGGCACCTCCAACAATGCAGCACAACCCCAACACTGCACTGGAGTTTCCTCTTAAAACTATGTGAGTTAAAAGTCCTGAAGTGAGGCTTGAACCCACAGCCTTCTGACTGAGGCAAGAGCGCTACCACCTGAGTCAGACTGACACATTTTGTGCTTTGTATAAATTGACTAGGCTACGAAGTAACCTTTACAGTAAATACTGTGAAGAGCTTTGATGTAGTCTTTTGTCATGAAAAGCACTGCATCAACTGCAAGGATTATTTGTTTAAGTGATGGCCTTATTAACATGCCTCCTTTGCGCTGATCAGTTACACTGCCTGCACTCATTGGGCACTCCTGCTTTCTTCACAATCCAGAGCACAATTACGCATGACCAGCACATACATCCTGAAGCACTCCGAGATGCCATCCCACGAAGGTGGCTACATTAAAAATTGTTGTTGTTGTTGAATCTTAAGGGGCAAGTGCACAATCTGAGTAATATCTTAAAGTGCAGTGACATTGCTATCCTTTCCGAAGCCCAACATTTTTCATGATTATAGCCTTAGGCTCATTGCTTTAAAATTCCAGGCAAGGTTTGGAAATGTCTTATTTAAATGTTAATTGGAAGCTGCTTTAAGAACTGTGTAAAACTAGCTTCTAAACTAAGGTTCAATTTTTTTTTAAAAATCTAAATTCTCATGATCTTAAGTTTTAAGAGGAGGTCCTAAGTTTAAAACTATGAGAACTCTTTGGGCTTCTAATGTTGCAGATTCTGCGGTATTGTGTTATTCCAAGATATGTGAAAGGAGAACATTAACAACCATGTGGTAGAATCCCAGACACTGATTTGGATGATACAAATTACAGTGGATTTGGGTTACAGAACATCATTACCAGAGATGATCGGTCACCAATCGTCTATTATGGCCAAGGTTAAGTAAAACATATTTAAATTTGATCTGTATCTTGGTGGCACTTCGTGCTCTGAAATCAGGTTGAGGCTCAAACCAGCCAACAACAATTTAGATTTTAGCACCTTTCAAGATTTTTGACCCATAGAAAGACAAATTGACAATTGATGAAATTCAATCCTGAAACAAACTTCAAAAACTCTGCCCCTAAACTCTGGAATTCCATCCCCCAATCACTCCACCTCGTCCATTCCTTAGATTCCTTCAAGTCCTGCCTCAAAACCCTCCTCTTCAACCATGCCATCGGTCACCCCCCTTCCCCTCCCCTCCCTTCTCCCTCCCTGATCCCAGCTCAGGTCTGAAATGCTGTACGCTGTCCAGCGCCTTGGGATGTCCTCCCGACGTGAAAGGCGCTATACAAATGCAATCTTGTTGTTGCATATATTAATGGCTTGCAGTCTTTTGACCTGTTCCAAATGACTCAATTGTATTACCATGAATAAGATATTTGTTCACCATTAAAAAACAGAAACAGAAGCTTCCTGATAGCAAGAAAAGTAGCATTGATATATATGCGAAGAGGGGAAAGTGAAGCAATAAACATACGTTGTTATCAATAGGATGTTTCTTGGAACAGATGTTCTTATAATTCACTGTAGTGAGAATCAGAAGCCTGGAATTCCATTTGGTCCATTTAAATTCATGAATTGTCAATTTGAGTTTCTATGCAGTAAAATTTGTGAAAGGTGCTATATAAATCTAAATTGACCATAGTCTTAACATTAAACATTACGCAGAAATATAAAAAAAATCTTAAACTCAGAAGCCAGCTTTCCTTAAAGAGCTGCAAGAAAGCTTCCCAACTGAGCCTCAATATAAGAAATTTCCAAAAATCATTAAAAATCTTAATTAATTTGTTTTCACAATGGTTTTAAAATTAAGGTTGATACTACATGGAATTCCAGCCCACAGCAAACCTAAACTCCCAGTGCAGTAAACTGCAACAGGCACCAAAATGTAATGTAGCAAAGTTCTGGTGCTAAAACGATAAAATACTGTGCAAGAAAAAAAAATGCCCAGTTTACCTGTATTTTTTCCTCAGCCTTTTGAGAGCATAACATCATGATACTAAATGTCAATGTTGTTATCAATCCACCGAGAAAACTCTGTAAAATAATACTTAGCATAACTGCACCTAGGAGAGACATAAAATAAATTTTAATTAAAATGTTTTATTGATACTTTGAAAGACAACAAGCAAAGAAGCACTTTTTTTAAAAAAATCTTCTCCTATGACATATTTTGCTTTAAAACTCAGGATCCAATGCCTCAAAGCAAACACCTGTTATTGCAGAAGATCAAAAGTCCTGAAGTATTATTTCAGAGATGAAAAAAGCATAAAACACTGTAATTTTATGACAAAACCAGGAAGTGATTTGAGAATTCATCTAATTGAATCTGAACTATAAAATGGTCTGATTAAAAAAGCTGCCTGTCACTTAGTTGTCAGGTGTGAGGCAGAGATTAAGTTTCATGAAACCTAAATGCCCAGCAGTATTTTGTGTCACTTCACTTGAAATGAAAAAAAAACCTTCTTGGTTAGAATATTCAAGATCGTTATGTGTGGTCTTACCACTGAGCTCTTTGGTTGATGTTATGGAAACTGTTGGAGTGACAAGAGGTGAATTTGATATCAATTATTTCATCTTCCTGAGTGAGCTACAACTATTCACCTCTTATGCACATTATCCATATGAATATCCTTATTTATTCAGACTTGTAAACTATTTTCCTATTATGCCCTTTAGTATTCAATGCCACGGGGATTACCTCCCAGGCGGCCAATAGAAAAGCCTTGTTAGCTGATTTTAGACGATTTCAGCATTTTCCATTAAATTAGAATAATCCAGTATAACACCCCACAGATGTCGGTTAAATGTTGCAGACAGCGGTGTATCGGTCCCTTGATTCTGACAAAAATACAAGCAAATTCTCTGATTGAATTTAGTTAGGAAACAAATTGCAGCAATGAACATCAAAATCACAGTGGCAAATGTCAAAATCACCGTTACAAAAGTCAAAATTGTTGCAGAAACTAAGGTAGAGAGAGAGAAACCGCAAGAAGATGAATGCTTTGGCAGGAGACTATATGACCAAAAGTAATTTTATGAATAAGCCTCAAATACCCAGATAATCAGGAGATGGATGTGTAACATTAGCAATTTACACAGTATATCCATCACCAAAAGAACTCAGAAAAATGCATTCAAATATGTAAGCAATGCAGTCAAATAATGTTAGAAAAGATTAAGACATCTGGCATACATATGTGGAACTCTCAGTCTGGTTTAGATACTCTTAAGCATGGTGATGGGTTTCTTCTGCAAGTGTCAGGCACCCAGCTGACAAAATAAAATACTTCAACTTTTTGTGAAAGCATTCTTAAATGTTTCAAATAACTGTTTCAAGAGGAAACTTATGGGCTTTGCCATAGTCTCTCTTTTTGAAATAAAACATTCTCCTGGACTTTTGACAATCACTGATTTGATCTGGATACAAGATCAGTACTCTATGCACAGCCAACATAGCGATATTTCCTTTTAAGTAAGTATGAGGCAAAGGTTAGTACTGTGATTTCCTATGAAAAACTGCTACCACAGAGCTTGAAACTCACTAATCCTTTGCGTCAAAGCAAGGGAGAATGGAACTGTAGAACCACAGAAATGTGGTGAGGAAGAAGGCCATTCGGTCCATCGTGTCTGTGCCAGCTCCTTCAATAGCAATCCTTTCAGTCTCACTTACCTGCCCTTTTCATATACCCCTGTAAAGTGGAGTAACAGTTTTGAAAGAATAAAGATATTTTAAGACCACACAAATCTTTAGATTTCAATTTTTTTACTTTTTTTTAAACCAAATGAAAATAATAATAATAATCCTTGCATTTGATATAGCGCTTTTCATGTCTTCTAGACGTCCCAAAGCGCTTCACAAAATATACTGTAAAGTGAATTGACTGTATATTTGTGGGCAAACGCGGCAGCCAATTGCGCACAGCAATGTCCCACAAACAGTCGTAGATTGAAAATGACCAATTTATTAGTGTTTTTTTTGGAGGGATTATTATTAGGCGTGTGGAGTAAGGAAACTTGCCCAAGGTTTCGCCCTGCCGGGAATTGAACTCAGGTTCATGGTCTTGCCCCTCCTACCTCTCTGACCTGCTGACTCCCTACCATGCTGCCCACTCCCTCCGTTCAGCGGGCTCCGGCCTGCTCCATGTCACCCGCCCAACCCTCCCTACCATCGGTGGACGGGCTTTCAGCCTCTCTGCCCCCACACTCTGGAACTCCATCCCACGGTCCCTTCGTCTCACTTCCTCCCTTGCCTCCTTCAAGGCCGGTCTCAAGACCCTTCTCTTCAACCGTGCCTTTGGTCTCCCTCCCACCTCTCTACCATCCCTCCCCCATGCTCGGGCCCCACCCACCTGACTATTCAGCGCTTTGGGACGTCCTCCCAACGTGAAAGGCGCTCTATAAATGTCATTTTGTTGTTTTTGTTGTTGTAGTAGTAGTTCCAGACTCACCCACGGGGGGACATGAAGCAGGCTAGTATTTATTGAGTGGAGGGAACGGGCGGGACAACAGAGTCGCAGGAGGTTTCAGAGGATGGAGTGAGGCAATGGGAGCTCAATTAAATTACTTTTCTTATCCATTTGATCTTAATAAACATATGATTCTCAATGTTATTAATGGCTATTAATCTGAATGTACTGAATTATCAACAATTACTATTTGTAACAACTCCAATGAAGAGAATTGTTCTTCTCACACAATCCTACTGGGGCTAATATGGAGTCAACTTGTGGTAAATACAGAGAGAAAGAGATAAGGGAACACACAGGGGAAAGAAAGCCAAGATGCAAGTTTAAAAACCTTGTGACAACATGACTCTTTGTGGAAAAAATGGTTAAAAATTTAAATAAATCATTTTAACCGATTTGCAGCATTTTCCTGCTGAGAGGTTACAAAACCTCACCGCCAAAGATACCCGAGCTTAGCCCCATCTAAGAGGAGCAATGACACAGACCCAGGGACAGAATCCATGTCTGACTTCTCAGTTGTCCCAGTACAGCCTCCTGAGGCACCTCACTTAATACTTCCCCAAGGTTTGATCTAACTCCCCTAAGAACTACCCAGAGCTTCCTTCCCTTCAGCCACCTCTTGCCTTTGATACCCAGTGACATCAGTACGTGAATGAACCATGCATGCGGTACTTCGACAAACACAAAATTTATTATAGTACATACAATGTTATAATTTTATCCGACAGAATATAACATTAAGCAGCCTCGATTGTATGAAGGTCAGACTAATGGGTCTTTAATTGCCAGGTATGATTCTGTCACCTTTTGTTGAATATAGGGACCACAATATGATTGCTTCCAGTCTGTTGAAACTTCACCAGTAGTGAACAACTCCATCATGTCTGTCTATCAGCGTAGCACAAGTCTTCTATCTTGTCTCTCTTTATGTACCCTAGGGTACAGTTCATCTTTCCTGGAAGTTTGTTGGTTTTTCAGTCCCTTGAGCTGAACCTCAGCCATGTCAAAGCATGCAATCATACAAGTGTGTGAGGCTTTGAGAGAGTGCATGTGACCATGTGAGAGAAGGTGTGAGATAGAGTGTATGCGTGTGTGCATGTGTGTATAAACGTGTGTGAGTGAATTTATAAGAGCATAGGAACATACGAACAGGAGTAGGCCAAGAAAATAAGTTTTCCAACAAGTACAGTTAAGAGAAAAATATAACTTGAGGTTTTGCTGTACAAAAACTTTTTTTTGAAAAAAAAAGTAAACTTTTTATTAAAAAAATCTCTCAAGTCAGACAGCACAAGGTGAGAAACACAGAAACTGGAGTAGGCCATTCAGCCCCTCCAGCCTATTCTGCCATTCTATAAGATCATGGCTGATTTGTATCTCAACTCCAAGTATCTGCCCTTACCCCATATCCGTTGATACTCGTACCTAACAAATATCTATCCACACAGTCTTGTAAATGTGAATGGATCCAGCATCCACAGCCTTTTGGGTGGGGAGAGAGTTCCAGATTTCCACTACCCTTCGGGTGTAAAAGTGCCTCCCAATGCCACTCCTAAATGGATTACCTCAGGTTTACCTGAGTTGGGAGCGGAGTCAGGAGAGCGCGGGGCGGAGCCGAGGCCCAGCTGCGGGTATAAAGCCCAGCCAGGTGAGGAGCCACTCAGTTGTGAGCGGAATCAGGAGAGCGCGGGGGGGCAGGGGGGTAAGTGACGGGGCGGCGCGATTCACAAAGTGACGTTGGCGTGACGTCACGATTAAAAAAAGCAGCGGCAGCTACAACAACAATGTCCTGGCAGCCCCAGCCACTGCCATCCCAGCCATGACCTGGGAGGCTGAGCCTGAGGGCTGATGCCGTCCTGCTGATCGCTCGCTCCTAGTCTCTGCGTGCGCGTTTTGGCTGCTGCCCCGACCCGAGCCTCCCCCTCCACTCTAAATGTCTCTCCTACCACCCCCCTCTATCCGCTACTCCCCCTCTGTCCTTCTCTCCCACCGCCCTCCCCGCCTTCTCTGTCTCCTTGACCCAATCACCACTTCCCTCTGCTCCAGCCTGGGCACCCTCCGCCGGGCCCATCGTGGCTCCCGGCACTGGCTGTCCCAGAGCAGCAAACCCACGTGTCCAATCATTCACTCCCTCCGCTCAAACCGCCTCCTTAAGGCAAAGCCAACTTCCCCCTCACTCATACATACCCTCCCCAACTCTCCACTCACACCACTCTCCACAACCATCTCTTCTGTACACCCCAAAAACCTCTCCGCACCACTCTCTCCTCCCTCCTGCAAACCCACCTGCATTTCCCTCCAAAATGTCCGTTCCCTCTCAAATAAAGCCCTCACCATCCACAACTTCATCCTGGACGAGCACTTTGACATTCTTGGGCTCACCAAAACCTGGCTCTCCCCCAATGACCCTGTCCCCCTAGTGGAAGTCTCCCCTCCAGGCTACACCTTCCACCACACCCCCAGTCCAAACCAACATGGCGGCGGGGTGGCCTTCATTTCCAAAGCCTCCCGTGGTCTTATCCCCTACTCCTCTGGCAGCTTCCCCTCCTTCGAGCACCTCACCCTCTTCCACCGCTCTCTCCCATTGAAAATCCTCCTTT